TGGGTGCAAGGGAACTGTAATTATGGGGATAAGTGTAGGTATTTACATTCTTGGAGTCTAGGGGAAGGTTTTACGATGTTGAGTCATCTTGATGGGCACCAAAAAGTAAGTGCTTTTCCTTTTTTCTTTTCTGTGTTTTGTGGTGCTAATTTGTGGCAGTATTTGAATTTGATGATGATGATAATGGGTTTGATTTATGGACAGGTTGTTAGTGGAATTGCGTTGCCAGCAGGGTTGGATAAGCTCTATACGGGGAGTAAAGATGAGACCGTGAGGGCTTGGGATACCAACTCTGGTCAGGTTGTGCTTAACTTTGTCACTTTATCCTTTATAGTTGGGGTTTTAATTTAGCTTTTAGTAGCTCCTAAAGAAAAGAAGTTTAAGTATCTGTTGGAACTTGATTAAGCATGGGATTTGAATCAATTAAAAGGAAAGAATTCTTCATAAAATTCTTCTGAATTTTCCAGCTGTATACTGTCTGATCAAATTATTACTGGCGAAGATGCCAAGGGTCGATTGCTTTTAGGATCTGTGCACTGTAAAATAACTTAAAGGATGGTATTTATGTTTCTATGGAGTCACTAAATTGCTAAACATTCAAGCGATCACTCAGATAACCAACTACTTTATGATCTGAAAGTAAAAGGAGAGTCAATTATTGATGGAAATTACTTTGTGTACTAGCTTTTGTTAGCAATTATCCTTTAGGTAAATTCTCTTAATTATTATCAGAGATTAAAAAGAGAACCCTAAATTTAGATTTGATGATTGCTTGGGTAGTTTCCTTTTCTTCGTCATTTAATTATATCACCAGTGAAATCATAGAGACCAAGCAAATATGTTTGTGTCTGATGTATTTTCTTTGGGCTTTTATGTAGTGCATGGGTGTGATTAATCTTGGTGGTGAAGTGGGTTGCATGATTAGTGAAGGTCCTTGGCTGTTTGTTGGCATACCGAATGTTGTCAAGGTAATATGTGAGGCAAATTCTTTACCAGTTGTTTTTTTCTCTAATTATATTACTATCTCATTTCAACTTCCATTACTGGGCTCAACAACAATGATGTTGCAGGCATGGAACACCCAAACTAACTATGAGCTCAGTCTTACTGGACCTGTTGGACAAGTTTATGC